TCGTGATCCACCCGCCTCGGCCTCCCAAAGTGCTGGGAGTACAGGCTTGAGCCACCGTGCCCGGCCAAGTTCATTCTCTTTCTAAAGTTCATTACTATTTCTGCTGTATTATATAGTCAGTGCTACGTAGATTTACTCACATCTTTATTGTTTTGTTTTCCCATTCTTTCTCACACCTCAGATATTTCCTTTGGAATAGTTTTTCTTCTTTTTTAAAGAATATTCTTTGGAATACCTTTTAGTGATGGTCCTTTGTAATCAACTCTTTCAGATTTTGTTTGCCTAAAAATGAATTTATTTCATCCTTGTATTTGGAAAGTATCTTTGTTATATAATTTTAGTTGTTTTTCTCTTAACAAATTAAAGACATTCTTCCACTGTGTTTTTGTCTTGCATCCTTGTCTTTGATCAGATAATTATCTGTTCAGTTGTCAATTTCTGTGTTATCCTTATGTGAATTTCTTTTTATTTAATTAGTTTATTTAATAAATACAGAGAATTTTTTTTACTAGATGCCAAGGATTTCCAACCACTGTGCAAATATTAACTTATCTAAATCTCAAAACAACCTTATGAGGTAAATATTATTAAGTGTCTGCATATGAGGAAGCTGAGGCCCAGAGGCATTAGGAAACTTTCTCAACATTACACACCTAGTAAGTGGTAGAGCCATGATTTCAACCAAGACAGCCTGGACCTAGAGTTTTCTTTATCAATTTAGAAATATTCAGGTTATTTAACTTCTTGAGGGGGTTTTGGTAATTTGTATCTGTTGAGACATTGATTCATTTTATCTAAGTTTTATGTAATGTATTGGCATAAAGTCTTCCATAGTATTCCTTTATTATCCTTTAAAATGTATGTGGACTGTACACCAATTCCACTCTTTCATTCCTGTAATTGGTAATTGGTGTCTTCTGCTCTTATCTTTATTGACTTTCTTTGCTTGTTTTCAGTTTAATTTGCTCTTCTTTTCCTAATTTTTTTGCAGTTAAGACTACTGATTTGAAAACTTTCTTATTTTCTAATATAATTAAAGTTTGAATGCAATAAATCTCCCTCTGAGCACTATGTTAATTTTATTGTGTTGTAATTTCATTTTCAATGAGTTTAAAATATTTTCTAGTTTCTCTTATGACTTCCTCTTTGATATATCAGTTATTTCAATTTTTTGGTTTAATTTACAAATATTTGGAGATTTTCTCAATGTCTTTCTGTTGTTGATTTCTAGTTTAACTCCACTGTTGTCAGAAAACATACTTTGCAAAATTTCACTTCTTTTGATTTACTAAGTAAGTCATGTTTTATGGCCTAGAATATGGTCTATCTTGGTGAAAATTTCATGTGTAGTTGAAAATAATGTATATTATGTTGTCGTCTTTGTGTAAGGTGTTCTATAAATGTCAGTTAGGTAAAGTTTCAACAGCATTGTTCAGATTTTCTTTTCTTTTCTTTTTTCCTTGAGACAGAGTTTTACTCTTGTTGGCCAGGTTGGAGTGCAATGACACGATCTTGGCTCACTGTAACCACAACCTCCCAGTTCAAGCAATTCTCCTGCCTCAGCCTCCCAAGATGAGATTACAGGTGCCTGCCACCATGCCCAATTAATTTTTGTACTTTTAGTAGAGACGGGGTTTCACCATATTGACCAGGCTGGTCTCAAACTCTTTTTTTTTTTTTTTTTTTTTTTTGAGACGGAGTTTCACTCATGTTACCCAGGCTGGAGTGCAATGGCGCGATCTCGGCTCACCGCAACCTCCGCCTCCTGGGTTCAGGCAATTCTCCTGCCTCAGCCTCCTGAGTAGCTGGGACTACAGGCGTGCGCCACCATGCCCAGCTAATTTTTTTTGGTATTTTTAGTAGAGATGGGGTTTCACCATGTTGACCAGGATGGTCTCGATCTCTTGACCTTGTGATCCACCCGCCTCGGCCTCCCAAAGTGCTGGGATTACAGGCTTGAGCCACCGCGCCCAGCTCAAACTCTTCACTTCTGGTAATCTACCCGCCTCAGTCTCCTAAAGTGCTGGGATCACAGGATTGAGCCACTGCACCCAGGTTGTTCAGGTTTTCTAAACCATTGCTGATTGTCTTTCTGTTTGTTTTATTATTACCGAGAGGTTAATGTTGAAATTTGCAGTTGTAATTGTAGATTTGTTGATTTCTCTTTTCAGTTCTATCAGTTTTTACCTCCTACATTTTGAAGTTCTGTTACTAGGTGCATACACATTTAAGATTGTCATACATTTTTGATGAATTAGTAACCTGTTAATCATTATGTGATCACCCTCTTCGTCTCTGGTAATATTCCTTGTCCTGAAGTTTACTTTGACATTAATATAGCCACTTTCATTAATGTTTGCATGATTATTAATTGGGCCTTGCTTTTTTTTTTGAGACAAAGTCTTACCCTGTCACCCAAGTGACAGTGCAGTGAAGTGCAGTGGCATGATCTCAGCTCACTGCAGCCTCCACTTCCCAAGCTTTAGCAATCCTCCCACCTCAGCCTCCCGAGTAGCTGGGACTACAGGTAGGCACCGTTATCCTCTGCTAATTTTTAAATTTTTCATAGAAAATGAGGTCTCACTATGTGGCTGAGGCTGGTCTCAAACTTCTGGGCTCAGTTGATCCTCTCACCTCGGCCTCCCAAAGTGCTGGGGTTACAGGCATAAGCCACTGCACTAGGCCTGGATCTTGCTTTTTAAAATTTAATCTGGAAAATTTTGATCTTTAAATAGATGTATTTAGGTCAGGCATGGCGGCTTATGCCTATAAACCCAGCACTTTGGGAGGCCAAATGGGAGGGTGACTTGAGGCTAGGAGTTTGAGACCAGCCTGGTCAGCATAGCGAGACCTCATCTCTATTTTAAAAAAAACAAACAAACAAACAAAAAGATGTATTTAGACTATTTATATGTAATGTAACATTTTATGTAATTTACTATTTCATTATTATTTTTAATTTATACCTTCTAATTTTATTCTGTTTTTCCTTTCCTCCTTTTATAGCCTACATAGAGTTAATATTTTACTACTTTAAGTAAAATGTAGAAGTCTTACAACCATATTAATCCTTTAGCTCCTATTAAAAAATGATTTTCTTATATATTTCATCCGTGTACATTGGAAACCCAACCAGACAATGCTATAATGTTTGCTTTCAGCATTCACACATATGTTAAAGAAATTAAGAGAAGAAAAGTAATCTTTGTGTTTACCCATGTTTTAATTTTTTCTTAGTTCTTCATTCCTGAAGTTTCAAAGTTTCTTCTGGTGTCATTAGCCCAAATAACTTCTTCTGGCATTTATGTTAGAGCAGGTTGACTTATGACAAATTCTTAGTTTTCCTTTACCTGAGAATGACTACATTTTGCTATCATTTCTCAAAGGTATTTTCCTTGATACAGAATTCTGGGTTGCCATTTCAAAAAAATCACTTTAAAGATGTGCCACTGCCTTCTGGTCTCTAAGGTTTTTTGATGAAAACGCCATAGTCATTTGAATCGTTCCATATATGATGTGTTTTTTTAATCTGGCTGTTTTCAAGATTTTTTCCTTTATCTTTGGTTTATTTTCTTTGTTTTGGTTTTCAGCAGCTTGTAATGTGTCTAGATATAGTTTTCTTTGAGTTTATACAGTTTATGTTTTGTCTTTCATTAAGCTTGTGAAGTTTTCCACTAAGTCAATAGCCCAATAAGGAAGTTACAGTATATACACCCTCCCCCATCTTGTTTTCCTCTCGTTCTGCCATTCTGTTAGACTTTTTATGTTTTGGCTCACAAGTACTTAGGGCTCTATTTGTTTTATAATATCTTTTTCTTCTCTGTTCTTTCTTTTTTTATTTTTTTGAGATGGGATCTCCCTTTGTCACCCAGCTGGAGTTCAGTAGTGCAATAATAGCTTGCTGCAGCCTTGACCTCCTGGGATCAATCAAGCTTCAGGCCTCAGACTGACTAACTGGGACTAAAGGCACGTGCCACCACGACAAGCTAATCTTCCTCTCTCTTTCTTCCTTCCTTCCTCTCTTTCTTTCTCTTTCTTTCTTTCTTTCCTTCTTTCTTTCTTTCTTTCTTTCTTTCTTTCTTTCTTTCTTTCTTTCTTTCTTTCTTTCTTTTTTTTCTCCTCTCTCTCTCCCTCTCTCTCTCTCCCTTCCTTCCTTCCTTCCTTCCTTCCTTCCTTCCCTTCCTTCCTTCCTTCCTTCCTTCCTTCCTTCCTTCTTTCTTTCTTTCTTTCTTTCTTTCTTTCTTTCTTTCTTTCTTATCTCTTTTGTGGAGAAAAGGTCTCAATATGTTCTCTAGGCTGGTCTCAAACTCCTGGGCTTAAGCAATCCTCCTGCCTCAGTATCCCAAAGTGCTGGGATTACAGGCATGAAGTCACAGTACTGGCCTCTCTCTCTTCTTAAGATTGGATAATTTCTTTAAGTTTACTCATTCTTTCTTCTGTCATCTCATTTTCCTATTACACCCATCCAGTGAATTTTTCTATTTTGGATTTTGCTTTTGTTAGTTCTAAAACAGTAGAACTGAGTAGTTGTGACTGAAGCCATATGGCTTGCGAAGCCTAAAATATTTACTGTGTGCCTTTTTACAGGAAAGCACTGCCAATTCCTGCCCTAGGAGATGGGAAACTCTTGAGGTGTTTTAAACAGTGAACCAACAAATATATCCCTTTGGCTAGTGTATCAAGAATGTATTTAAGAAGGGGCAAGAGAAAACCAGTAAAATCAGTAAGGAGGCAATTGAAATATCTATGAAATAATGGAGAAGGGCCTGAACTTAAATAGTAGGAGGCATAAGAAGACAGAAGTTTATGAGGCAAAATCAGCATAAATCACTGAATAGTTATGGGGAAGGAAGGAAGAAGATCGACTCAAGGATAATTCCCTGTTTTCTGGTTTGGTGACTGGGAATATGGTGTTCCCTAAAACAGCTACATGAAGGCAAAAATGTTGTGATTGTTATTTTTATGCGTTAACCTGACTGCACCATGGGTTACTCAATTGGTCAGACATTATTCTCAGTACCAAAATCTGCACTTGTCAGAGTTCTCTGGGAGATTGTTTCTTTGTTTGTTTACCATAGGAAATTGGCTCATGCAATTGTGAAGACTGATAAATTCGAAGAGCTGCAGTGAGCAAGCCGGAACTCAGGAAAGCTGGTGGTGTAGTTCTAGTCCAAAGGCTGGCAGGCTTGAGACCCAGGAAGAGCCAGTGTTTCAGTTAGAGTTTGAAGGCAGAAAACAAAAAACAACAAAAACAGTGTTTCAGCTCAAAAGCCGTCAGGCAGGAGGAAGTGGGTCAGTGGGTGCATGCTCATGGAACTCGATGGTCCTACCATGTTTTCCACCACCCTTAATCAGCTGGCTTGATAGAACAGTGGAGTGGCCTTTTGAAGATTCAATTACAGTGCCGGCTGTAATACAATACCTTGCAGGGCTGGGGGCAAGTTTCTCCAGAAAGCTGTATATGCTCTAAATCAGCATCCAGTACATGGATTTTTTTTGTTTTCTCATAGCCAGGATTTATAGGTGCAGGAATCAAGAGATGAAAATTGGAGTGGCACTACCCACTACTACCCTTAATGACCCACTAGCAAAATGTTTGCTTCCTGTTCCTGTGGCCTTATGTGCTGACTTAGAGATCTTTGTTCCAAAGGGAGGAATGCTCCACCAAGAGACACAAAAATGGTTCTGTTAAACTGGAAGTTAGGAATGACACTCAGACACTTTGTGCTCCTCTAAGTCAACAGCCCAAGAAGGAAGTTACAATGTCAGCTGGGGGATTGATCTGGAAACTAAGGGGAAATTGGACTACTGCTCCACAGTGGAGGTACAGAAGAGCATTCTAGAATACAGTAGATCCCTTAGGGTGTCTCTTGGTATTATCATGCTCTGTGATGAAGGTCAATGGAAAAGCAAAACAACCCAATTCAGACAGGATTATTAATGACCCAGACCCTTCACACAAAAAGGTTTACATCACCCCATAACTTAAAGAACCACAAACAGCTAAGGTGCTTACTAAAGCCAAGGGAAATATATAATAGGTAGTGGAAGAAGGTAACAAGATATGTATAGGTGTGTGTTGAATATATTTGTTTCCTTCTTCTCTTTCCCCTTATCATGTAACATAAGATGTATTGGCTTTATATGATAGTATTTATGTATTGTTAATTTTATATGATAGTATTTAAGTTTTGGGATATCACAGAGAAGAGTGAACGTAGCTCAAAGACATTGCTTCCTCCTCTGTGGAAGGAGTTTGCCTTACAAACTCCTGAGGTGTGTTTTCTGTTGTACAAAAGACAGTTGTATCAGTGTAGTGAAACTATGACCATGTTACTGCCTTTGTTTGGTTAGTATTGGTGTAGTTTAAGTACATGCATATGCATGCCAAGTTGAGAAGGCATGGACTTGCGCTGGTTAATTTTACATGCCAACTTGACTTGGCCATGGGGTCAAGTTGGTCAAACATTATTTCTGGGTCTGTCTGTGAAGGTGTTTTTGGAAGAGATGAATATTTCAATCAGTAGACTGAATAAAGCAAGTTGCCCTCCCTAATGTGAGTGGCCTTCATCCAATGAGTTGAAGGCCTGATTAGTACAAAATGTCTAGCCTTCCTGTGAGTAAGGGGGAACTCCTCCTGCCTGACTGCCTTGAGCCAGGACACAAACTTTTCCTGCCTTTATACTTGCACTGAAATGTCAGTTCTTGGGTCTCACACCTTCTGGCTTGTGAATGGGAACTCAACCATCGGCTCTCCTGGGTCTCCGTCTTGCTGACTACAGATCCTAGGACTCTTCCGCCTCCATCATTGCCTGAGCCAATTCCTTCTAATAAATCTCTTTCCATATATACGTACATCCTGTTTGTCTGGAGAACCCTGACTAATACAAGGGCTATTTGGCGGTTTGGGATGATGTATAGAGATTAAAAATTCAGAGCTGGCCATGATGATTCTGTGGATCTGTTCTGGAGACAGAAAACAACCAGTCAAAATATAGCAGCGGACACTTAAGATACTTTGCCTAAAGACACAGATTTAGGAGTGATCAGCACAGTTCTCAAAGCTAGGTGAGTGCACATAATTATCTGCGCAAAGCAGACACTTAAGAGGCATGGTCCTTCAAGAGAGTGGCTCTCAAAAGTGTAGTCCAGAGACTTGCCTTACAAACTCCTGAGGTACTAGTTAGGAAAAAACATTCCTGGATTCCTCGCCAGACAAACTAAGATAAAACCTCAGTGTCTGGAGCCCAGGAATTTTTTTTGAGGGGTCGGGGGTGGATCTCACCATATCACCCAGGCTGGTGTTGAGCTCCTGGGTTCAAGCGATCCTGCTGCCTCAGCCTCCCAAAGTGCTGGGATTACAGCCATGAGTCACCGCACCTGGCCAGGAGTCCTCATTTTTGACAAGCATCTCAGGTGACCGTCACACACACCAAAGCGTGAGAAAGTCTGCACTGTCGGAAGGCAAACTGCCTTCCTGGGAGAGCTGTCCGACAGGGTGCAGGAGGGCCTCCGTCGCTAGGTGGCGCCAGCCGCACATATACACTAATTCTCCAGTGCTGTGGATTCCTCAGCCAGTGTAGAAAAGGAAGCCTTCTGGGGCTCCCAGGATTTCTGCCAGCACCTTCTCATGGGGAGGGAAAGAAAGAGCTAGCAGGCAGACTAAACTGTAGTCAGTGACGCTATCACTCCCACAAAGGTCTGCCTAGAAGAGGCTCGAGTTATTGGCAGAGCACAAGTAAGGAGAATTCTCTGCAAAACCACCCGTTTTGAGCCACAGTGATCCAGCAGGCAGTCTTGGGAAGTAATGGTGTGGATTTCCCAAGACCCAGTCAGGAGCAGGGCTGTGAGAGGCCAGGGGTCCCCTCACTTCCCAGACCACCACCCCTCCCGGTCAGGGTATCCTCAGAGGGGACAGAAGCAACCCCTTCTGTCCTAGAATACCTGATGGTGCTGCCGCAGCTAACCCTGGCTCTGCCTGACCCCGTCTTAGGCTCACACAGTCTCCCAGGCCTTCACAGAACTCTCCTGCACCCCCTGCCTTGGCCCCCAGCACCTCACATTGAGCTGTTTCCATAGCAACGACTTGCATGTACCCCTGAGTGTCCAGGACCCCCCACCACTCTGCACGTATCCGTGCTAGAGCTTCAAACACTGCTGTTGAGAAGTCGCACCCCTCATTTGGCACTGACGACTTGCATCTTCTGGCCTTTGGTGTCAGAGTGTTGGAGCTCCTCAGGCAGAGAAGTGTTGATGGAGGGGAACTAGGGAGGGAAGAGGAAGACCTAGGGCCACTGGGCCTCAAGAAAAGCACAGAGCTTCTACTGCATTCTCTGGACCAAGGATAGCCACAGGGTCTGAGAGGCAGCAGGTCAGCTCTGTGCCTGGTTAGACTGGCTGAGCCCACCCAGCTACCCCCAACCCATTCGCCTAACACAAAGCCCAAGGGGCTTCACTTCTGTTTTCCTGACACAGGGATTCTCTGTGCCCTGAGATGATCCTCATGGTTATTCTCACTATCCTTTCTTCCCTCAGGTCCCCATGCCTCAGTCCTGTTCTTTCCGTATTTGGGGCCCTAGAAAGCACCTCACAGTCCAGGCAGGAACAGTAGCACTCCTAGGGCCCAGAGCAGAGGTGGGAATCTGTCCTGCAGTAATGGGACCTAGGTGTGGTCCCAGAGTCAAGAAGATGATCACTTGCAAACTAAGAGGAGACAGGCCTGGAGTGGTTGTGAGGCTGGGTTAAGGCTGTGGAAGGAAGGCCTGGAGTCCTTGAGTCCTACTCACACCCAGATCCCGGGGTCCCCACCTTGTGTTGCTACAGCCAGTTTCCTTCATTTCACACACATAGCCTGCTCCAGACATATCACATCTTCCTCCATGTCCGTCACCACCTGGAGGGCCACACCGACAGCCAGGTGTACAGGGGCGGGGGCAGGAAGACCCGAGTGTCCCCTGCCCAGAAAGCCTGAAAGGTGAGCCCTATGCTGTCTCCCAATGTGATTATTCAGTTACACATTTTTTTGTCAAAAGCATTATTAATTTATAAATTACCCTTTTTAGGATCCCATCATAGCATTTATTCATTTCTTTAACATGTAGCAGAAGCTTCAAGGGATGGAAGGGGACTGGGCCATTTGCAAATCATGGAAGGTCCTGCCGTAGAGGGTCCTGGAGAATCCCACATGGAGCAGGTGCTTGGGCGGAAGTGTTCCGGCTCGTAGCTTCTCCTCTCCCCTCCCCTCCTCTCCTCTCTAAGGGAAACTCTTGGGTTAAGAGAAGCCCACAAAGTAAATAAATTCTGATCTGGCCTGGACCCATGGCAGCCCAGCCTTCCCTTTGCTTTCTCGAGGTGGGTGGGCCAGCCCTTCTCTAACACACAGGGAGGTTGTGGTCCACCCAAGAGGGGCCAGGCCGCACAGCCCAGCTTCCTTGGGCTTAGCAGCAGCTACCCAGCCAATATCCACACACAGAAAGTGCTGGGGTCACTGCAGAGACTTCTCCAGGAAGAAACTCTTAGGTTGGGCCCAGTCACCTGGGGCACCCAGGACCTCAGGGTCCCCAAAACATACACACCTAACTAGGGAAAGATCACAAATCATGGGTCCCGACATCTAGAGGTAAAAGCCTTGGCAAGTAGAAGCAGCCACTGGGGAGTCAAAAGGTGTCAGAGGACAACAACCAGGTCAGGCAGCTCTTCCACTTGCAGTATCACAGGCCCTGGGGATCCCAGGGAGGAAGTGATGATAATCATACAATAGCTACCAGTTACTTTGTGCCAGTAACTAAGCCAAATGTCTTACAGATATCATCTACTTAAACCCTAACAGCCAAGCTAGGATTTGGATTTTTTTTTCTCGCTCCACAGATAAGAAAATTGAGGTTGAGAGAGATTAGGTAAACTTGCTGGCTCACCCACGAGCAAGGGACGGAGGATTCCAGCCCAGATCTGCCTCCCAAGCCTGTAGCACCAGGGTTTCATATTCTTATTTTTGGGAGAAATGGGACAGTCTCTCTGGCAGCAAGCAGATCATGGGTAGGTCAGTGCTGTGAGGCTAAGAGGTAGCATTGTCAAGAGCCTAAACATGACCTACCTTATTCCTGGTTTGAGAGTTCGATCCCTCTTGAAATCTCAATTCCAATTCTCTCTCTCCCCTTAGCACAAGCCATCTCTTCATTCATTCATTCATCTATCACTTAGTCATTCATTCATTACTTGGTCATTCATTCAGTCATCATATTTTCAGCTCCAGTGTTGTGTCACATGCTGCTCTTAGTCTCAGCCTCTCAGGATAACTAAAAACATGCAAGTGCCTTGAGAACCTGGGAGGGAGAGGCCTTCTGGATAGAGAAGGAACAAGGGAAGGCTTCTTTGAGGCGAGGCTTTTGAACTGGGCCTGGACGGATGTTTTGATTTGGTGTGGAAATCCTTCCGATGGAGAGATTTCAGGCAGAGGGAACAGCATGCTACTGTTGCAGAACTTTCTCCTTAATTCAGCTAAAACCAGGCTCTTCTCCCATGACCAGGAAAGATTAGGCTCACAAACACATATAAGGGTGAGGAAAATGAAATTTATTGGGCAAAAAGAAAAAGGAAAAATAAGTCTCAGCAAAGTGACAGAGAATCCTGCTAGCAGGTTTTCCGCCTCACAGATTGAGTCCCAGGTCACCACACAGGAATAGGATAGGCCAGACTCCTCCCCACTGCAAATGGCGCAAATTTCCTCAGCTTCCACCCCATCCTCCTAGTGTACAGGTGGGCATAATTCAGAAAGAATAAATTGGGAAAGGGTGAGCTTCATCCAGAACTGTCAGTCTATTTTTTCACCCTTCAAGCTCTTTTAGGCTTCAAGGCAGGGTTTGCTGGGGAATGGGGGGAACCTTTGGCTGCCTCTTGTATCTATCATTCTCCCATCTAAAGAAGCACGTTTAACTGGTGTTAGAATAAGGATAAGAATAAGAATGAAGATTGATCTTAACTGCTTCCTGCTGACAGGCAGTGCTGTTTGGGAAAACAGAAGTCAGATCTCCCTCACAGGCCTATCTAAGGGTCCCCAGCAGAAAGGGCCATTGTCCAAGGCTCTGGTTACATGACCATTTGGAGTCCGATGGCCTGAAGGTGAGAGGAGACAAACTGGGTTATTAGAAGACATGCATCAAAATGAAACAAAAGGGGTGGTTAAGGACAGCTCAAAAATTCCAAAGCCTTTTACCAGTTTGTACAGGGATGGGGGCTGCCAAAAGCTTGACTGGAAAAAACTTCACCCTTCTGCCAGCATGTCAGGCTTCCGGGTTCCCTTCCCCTAGCCCAATCCTAATTTAACCAGTTTAGGGTTTTGGAAATTAACTTTTTCTACTTTGGAGGATGTATCCAAAGGAGTGTCCCATAGTGTGGAGACACAGCTACTTATCAATGAGGAGAGGGAAGAGGAGGAGAAAGGAAAAAAGAAGAATTTTTTTTTCAAAGGAGTCCCAGGGGTTCAGGATGCATTTGAAAGGGGTACAGACTGAAGATGAATGACTACTCATCTAGAAAGAGGGGAGTGAGGCATTCCTGGTTCCCTTCTCTGCCTAGTGAATACCTGAGGTACATGAGGGAGGGAAAGTGAGGCATTCGTCTTTCTTTCCTCCATCCTTGTATCACTAAGTCCTGGTGACTGCAATGGGGTGTTACCCATGGGTGTCAAAGTGGCTTTCACTCATGTTAACAGGGGGCCTAAGGGGTGGGAGTATCTCCTCTTACCCCCACACACCCTATCTCCTATGTTGTCAGTAGCCCTTGAATTCCCTAGACCTCATTTATGCCATGGACACTATTGTGACGAAATGGGAAACTTGGCTTAATTGGCAGGAATCAGTCACACTCACCTGTGCTCTGCCTTTTATACTTCATTACTGCCTGCTTCTGGATCACTCAGATCTAGTTTTCATTCCTAGGACTTTGACCTGAAGCTTGGAATTGAGTTTGGGACAAAAATGTGTCTGATGGGGCTGGGGAGTTAGGAGGGTTGTATGAACTTCTTATCATAAGCTGAATGCTAAGGTGAAGCTGTGGAATTGTGTGCTTCTCCAAAAAGAAAAAGAAAAGGATGTCTTGTGACATGCCCAGATAACTGGTGGCTATAGTTATGCTTGCTAAGATTTGGGTGCATGGGGCTTGGCTTTGGTTAGCTCCCTTGGTCTTACTTTCCCAAAAAGAAAACCTCTGCGTGATGGGCATCCTATTTATTCACATCACCTGGCAGGATTTGCAAGATAATTGCTCAGAACTAGAATATTGATCCAGATTTTTATGTCATCCATTCCTTTTGTTCTTTCTGAGCTGCAGCCAGAAATTGCTGGTCCACAGGAACAAGCAGAGTTAGTCTAAAATGTAGGCAAAAACTTAAAAACAGCTAACGAGTCTAGAATCTAATGACAAATGTATAATAAGTTTTGTTATAATTTCTCTCTCTTCAGCCCTCATTTTCATTACAAAAACAAATCACGGTGGGACTGACTTCTTTGCAAAATAGACTTTAGTCTTATATTTGGCCTGATTATTTGTATAAAGTGCAGCAAGAATAATTATTTCTACATAGGCCTTTGAGGTTGTCTTTGATGGAACTCTTTTCCACAAGGAATTTCTGATGAGACCTTTTAAAGCTGAGCCCAGCCGTGGGTTTGTATCCTCAAATACCTGTGAGTTGGATAATCCTCTTTTTTTAAGGTACCAAGATAAACTTGGAGATTCTGGGTCTTTCAGAAAGTGGCATTCTTTCCTTACAACAGATCCGGAACCCAGTGCAGGTTCGCATAGACAAGGGTATGAGGCCAGTTTTCCCAAGCAGCTTCTATCAGCTCTGCAAGTTGAGCTTGACTCCTTAAAGGGAAGCATACCTTTTCAGTTAAAGCCTTGGTAAAACAATCACTTTATTCAATTGCACCCAGTCGCAAAAGAAAATGGATTGTTATTGCACTGATGCAAACAACTATATTGCCATAAGTTAAGAATACTCACAACTAGTTTCCCAATTCTAGAAAAGCCAGGCAAAGAGAGAGAGAGAGAAACAAATATGCTCTAAATTTTGTTCTTAGGAGCATACCTTACTCAATTATTAAAGGCTGTAAATAGTTCAAAATAAGTTTCTTTGACTCTGAAAAACAAAACAAGGATCAGCAATATTCCAACAAAAGTTAAAAAGATTGCTTCAGTTTTCTGTGAGTTAAGTCCATTTAGCTAACTCTTGTTTTGCTTGATATTTATGAAAATTTTAGCTCTTCATGAGTCCTGTATGTTTTTTGTTTATTCCGATGTTACAATCTCTAAAGTTATCAGAAACCTGTATTTGAGAGCACCTGTCAGAATCCTATAGCTTATTATAAGCCATTTTTGAAAAGGATAAAAACAAGACAGCAGTTGTCTGTGAATAACAAAATGTTCAGGGTAGTTGCAGTTAGAAACACGACTGAGAAATAAGTTTGGTTATCTGTGTGGTTTACAGCAGCTTAACAGCCTTAATTATAATTGATAGCATATACTGTAGACATTAGAATTTTGGAAATCCCATACAATTTTGAAACATATATTAGTATTATTCACCAAAATATAACCTAAAGAAGATTGAACACACTTTAGCAATCCCATGTAACTAAACCTGTTCAATAATCCTGTTTTCCTCTCTTTTGGATACTTTAGGGGCCCTCTGTAGCATCCAAACCCAGGCATCAGAAAAAAACAATTTTGAAATTGAAGTTTGATTTGGGGAAGCCTACTAAATATGTTAGAGGTTTAAAACACTTGATGTTATGAAATAGAATTCCAGATTACCGTTTATTTTGCCACAATGATGACTCAAAATTTAAAAAAGCAAAAACCTTTTATAACCCTTTACAAATTTTGCTAAAGAGCAGATTAGTGCCTCCAGAGTACCTTGTTGTGCTTTTACTTCAATGCTTAATTTACAGAACAACTGTGTAATACCATGTTGAATTTAGTCAATATGTTCACACTTGGAATATTTGCAAGTTTAACTTTTACAGTCCTTCCATCATGTTTTCAAACACTCAGCATTATATAATCTAATTGAAAGCAATCTTTTAAGCGTGGGTAAGAATTTACATTTCCACTCCCTCTTATAATCTTTTACTGAAAACTTATCTTACTGTTCTACACACTTCACATGTAAATCTATTTCCAGTAGTTTTAATAACATGTTATAATGGTAACTCCTTGCAATTCTAACTTTAATGTAAAACCTAGTAAGTTGTTTTAATTATGAACTAGGTGCAGCCAAGGTTTGATTCCTTACAGCATAATTAAGGGCATGGTTAATTCCATATGTCCAGTCCTTACCAATAGTGAAGCCAGTAAGTTAAAAAGTTCTCAAAGGCAGTTTTTAACCATAAAACATTTAGAAAACCTAGTATATTACCCACATAATTTAGTTCACCTATTTACATTTTGATGACATCTGCATTTTACAAATAATTTTAAGGCTAGGCCGGGCATGGTGGCTCAAGCCTGTAATCCCAGCACTTTGGGAGGCCGAGGCGGGTGGATCACGAGGTCAAGAGATCGAGACCATCCTGGTCAACATGGTGAAACCCCGTCTCTACTAAAAATACAAAACATTAGCTGGGCATGGTGGCGCGTGCCTGTAATCCCAGCTACTCAGGAGGCTGAGGCAGGAGAATTGCCTGAACCCAGGAGGCGGAGGTTGCAGTGAGCCGAGATCACGCCATTGCACTCCAGCCTGGGTAACAAGAGCGAAACTCCGTCTCAAAAAAAAAAAAATAATAATTTTAAGGCTGTTTTTATTTCTCAGACATTAAAGTCATGTGAACTAAAAGGTACCACAGCTTTTATCTTCCCTTTGCAAAATATTTGATACTTCAAAGAATAATCTCTTAGGTCCAGGATTCTGTGCTTATCACTTATATTTTTCAAAAATATTTGAAAAATATAAGTGATAAGCACTTATATTCCTTTAGACCAATTAATTAAAGCTCTTTTTTATAGACATCATAATTACAGAGACAGGCAAAAGAAAATCCAGCACCCATAAGTTTTTTGTTTGCCAATCTCCTAATTGGATTATTGGCCTCCAAGTGGAGCCCTTTAAGAGACAAGGTTTGGAAAACATTCAGCTTTTTAAGGCCTTTTGATAAACAGGGAGCCAAAAACAGATTTTGAGAGGGATTGATGTGTCTGTAATTCCTGGGGTCTCATGAGAAAAACAGCGGTCTCTCTCCTCTCATGTGTGCATGAAAAGTGGCACAACAAAATGGAGAAAAATAATTCAGCCAACCAAAAACAAAAAATATTTTCCAGCAAAACAAGGTGGAAGTAAAGAAAAACATAAAGGCCTTTTAAACATACCAATGTCTTGGGTATCCACTTTTAATTAAGCTGAGTCCTTTTAAGAAAAATCCTTTTAAATTCCCTATTACCTGACTTTAGCCACACCAACTGGTCAATATTTCTGGCCTTCAAACTTTACTAAAGTCTCAGAAAAAGGAAAATCCAAGATGGTTCATGTTGAGGAAGGAGGGAGGAAGAGAATCAACAAACAGCAAAGGTTACACAGATACCAAATCAGAAAGGACTTATACACTAAGCCAAGAGTGAATCCAGGTGCCATTGTAAAATGATGGTGGAGGCTAAAGAAAACATTGCCACATAGTTACAGGTCATGCTCCCAAGGTTGTAAAACAAGATGGAGACCTACAGCAAAGTTTGCTACTGATCAGAGAAAAAGTCATGCAAAGCACACCAGATTGGCTGCAGCTTAAGACCAACCTCACAAATCCTTTTTTGTATTTAAAACTTTACAGAGAATATAAACAGTGATAGCTGGGGTCCTGGCCTAGTAAAACATGTTCTAAAAAAAAAAAAAAGACTCTCACATAAAAGTTAACTTCTGACAGGACAGAGAAAAGAAGTTAAAGTGCAGGTTTGGAACGATGCCTAGGGGAAGAACCTCTTATTCTTATGCAAATGGATTTCTCCAACAGAGAGGGAAATTTAAGTGGGGAGCTGGGAAGCCACCAGTTTGTCCATCCATCCCAAAAAGAGAAGGAAAAGGCCAACATTCCCAACTCCTGGGAAATATGTGTGGTGCCGGCATAATTTCCTCTACCCTCAGAAGGTGTCTGGGGACAAAAAGGCTTAGACAAGAAAGGAAAAAACATTTTTTAGTTTGCATGTTATTCACCCTTCCTCAAGCCCCATATTGGGTGACAAAAATGTTGCAGAACTTTCTCCTTAGTTCAGCTAAAACCTGGCTCTTGTCACACAACCAGGAAAGATCAGGCTGACAGACGCATAGAAGGGTGAGAAAAATGAAATTTATTGGGTGAAAAGGAAAAATAACTCTTAGGAAAGTGAGATAGAATTCTGCTAGCAGCTTTCCCACCTCACAGATTGAATCTCAGGTTGCGACACAGGAACAGGAGAAGTCAGGCTCCTCCCTACTGCAAATGGCATGAACTTCTAGAGGCTCCACCCTGTCCTCCCAGTGCTCAGGTTGGCATTATTCAGACAGAATAAGTCAGGA